AGTTTTGCTTGGTATCACTTCCGCTAGAAGACCAGTCTCCAGACTTCCCCGGAACATGGGTGTACTCATAACCCAACAGTGGAATCATCAATATGAAAAATGGCTCAAAATAATTTTTGTCATGAGTAGAGCTCAAGCACTCTAAAGTTCCATTAATCAAGGAAGTGATGCTACTCGAATTCTTGAAATTATAAAGCTTAAGAGCAGCAGCAAGAGAGGGTTGATTACCTGATACTGAGAGATCAACTGTCCCAACCACACAAAGCTCCCCAGAAGATGTTGACCAGAAGCCTTGTAACCAGGAATATGAAACTTTTCGCCCAAAATAACTTCCTGACATGAGAGGACCTCCGGGGGCCATCGTTGCTCCGATCATCAATACATTATCTTTGTTAGTCTTACGTATCTTAGAGATGCTGAATGAAAACGAGTTTGTGTAGCTGGTTAAGTAGTTTAGATTTGGATTTGGATTTGGATTCCCACCAAGGTAAAAACCAGCATGAGCAGTCTCCGTTTCAATCGTGTAACTGCCAAATCCAGAGCCGGGAACAACGCCAGGGAAGATTGAAGAGCAATAATCATCAGATACTTGAGTTGCAGTGGATGAAACATGCTCTATGAAGAAACTGGTGAAGAACAGAAAGAAAAACATCGTTGAAGGATTCATCATTGCTGAAGCAGAAGATGAAGAATGGGAAGAAAAGCCAGCTTCAAAGGCTAATATTTTCTACTCAAGCGACCGTATGCACAAGGGCAGAGTGGGGCACTTCGTTTTGCTCCAACCAATGCACACGAGGTCAAGTCTATGAGAAAAGGACAGCCATTAATGTCAACGAAAACTTAGAAAATTTTCAGCAAAAACCAATCAAAGCAAAGAAGGATAAAATTTGTGGAGCCAAATCAGGCACTGGCGGGATGAAAATCTATTTGGTGACCCAAATCATGTGGAGCCAGCCTTACATAGTAGGATTTGGTTGCTGCTCCTCACTGCTCAAGCAAAGAAGGATAAAATTTGTTGCC